CAGTTGTTGTTGTGCGTTCTTCGTATCGTGTTTTCGTGCCGTGATATTTTCTTTTTAAAAAGTATCGTACTATTGCGTGAATTCTTAATAAAATAATTAAAATGCCTAGACCAAAGCCTAAAACTTATGATCGGCTAAACAATTTTATTAAAGAATTCGGTGAAACAATATTTTTGGCAGATAACTCTGTTTTATTTTGTAAAATATGTGACATAAAAGTTAGTGTTGAGAAAAGATTTACTGTTATTCAACATATTAAAACAGCAAAACACATCCAGGGTTTAAATCGACTACAATTGAAACCAACTAAAACTCAGCAACTTGTATCCACGTCTTTCTCCAAGAAAAACGATTTTAATAGAGACTTATGTAAAGCGATGTTATCGGCCAATATACCATTGTATAAACTGGAAAATAAACAATTTCGAGAATTTTTGGAGCTATACACTAAAAAAGAAATACCGAAAGAAGCCACTCTCCGTAAAGGTTATGTCGACGATTTATTTTTAGAAACAATTGAAAAAATTAAAAATTGTGTTGATGGAAAAAAAAAATTTGGGTCTCGATAGACGAAACCACTGACGCAGAAGGACGCTTTATTGCCAACGTTATAATTGGAACTCTTACAGTAGACGATCCGGGTAGTATTTTTTTGTTGAATTCGGAAAAGTTAGAAAAATCAAACCATTCGACCATTTTTAAGCTTTTTGACCAATCAATGAACTTGCTCTGGCCACAAGGTGTGAAATACAATGAAGTGCTTTTATTTGTAACCGATGCCGCGCCTTACATGATTAAGGCCGGCAAAACGATTCAAAATTTGTACACTAAAATAATTCATGTAACCTGCTTGGCACACGGGCTTCATCGTGTTGCTGAAGAAATAAGAAACCAGTATAAAAACGTCGATCAACTCGTATCTATTGTGAAAAAAACTTTTCTTAAGGCACCGTCACGTATTCAAACATTAAAATCTGTTGCATCTGATATTCCATTACCTCCGCAACCAATTTTAACCAGGTGGGGTACATGGATTGATGCTGCTTTATATTATTGTAAATATTTTGAAATTATTAAACAAGTTATTGATATGCTTGATGAAAACGATGCAGAATCCATAAAAAAATGTAAGCAAATTTTAAAATCAAATAATTTGGAAGCAAATTTAGCTTTTATCATGTCAAATTATGGATTTATTTTTACATCTATCACTCGACTTGAAACCAAAGGCATGTCACTTACTGAATCCATTAAAATAATTAAAACTACAAAAGAATCTATACATTCAGCAAAAGTTGGTGGATGCGCTCAAGCTAAGGCAATTTATGAAAAATTCCAAAAAGTTATGGAAGAAAATGTTGGATTTGTACAACTACAAAAAATATCAGACATTATAAGTGGACAAAATGAATCTATGGACGGATTGCCAACAGATATTAGTAGTGGTGATATTCCGTTTTTTAAGTTTGCACCAATCAGTTCTGTTGACGTGGAACATTCCTTTTCAAAGTATAAAAATATTTTGGCTGATAACAGGTCATTCGAATTTTCCAACTTGAAAAAATATCTCATAGTTCAATGTAATGCTCAAGGTAATAAATACAATATTAATTAAAACAATTTACAAACATATTCAATTTAAAAAGTATTTTTTTTTATTTTAGACTAGAACTTGGGTGTTAGAAGAAAATCAATTATTTATTATGACAAGATTTTTTACTATAAATTAAAATTTTATTAATTATGTATTCATATTAAAATAATAAAAAGGTTTTTATTAAATACTGTTATTTATTTTTTTTAGTGCATATTTTAATAGCATATTTGGTAATTTTTAAAGGCATAAATGCATACATATTTTAAGGTTTTTTAGGGAATGAAGTCCCTAGCCCTAGTGATAATAGTTAAATAGTTATAGAGTAGCCCGAAAGAAATGACTCGCCGTAATCTTAGTAATAATAAATAAAAGTTAATAATCACCTAACCTACCACCGCAGCTTTTGTATCGATTGCACTTGTACCCGAATTCGATTTCCCGTCATTCTATACGGAATAGGTTAATCTGATTTTAGTCCTCCGCTCACCTGCTCCCTCTCCATCACTCCTGATCCGTGCCCGTTTCCTAACTGCGAACGCGACGGTTTTCGTCAATTGCGCCGAATTTGGGATACTATCTGTATTGCAGTGGCGTATACAGAAAATATTTTCGGGAGGGGCTACTATGGACAGAATTAAATTGCCACTGCTATCTAAAAATTACTAACAAAACACAGTAGGTACTTATCTACATTTTATTTACAGAATGTCCCAAAACTATTTGACAAAGGCAATAAAAATTGTCTCAACTGATCACATTATTTACATAATTCCTATAGTAAGTATAATCCTGTATTTATGAACAAAGGATATATAATGTGGTACTTGACTATTTAATATTTATATATGTCTACTGGACTATTTCTATAATAAAATATGTTATGAATAAAATGTGTAACAGGCAAATCATACCCAATAAAATAATATTGGGGGAGGGGAGAAAGGGTAAGATTTTACTAGGCATATTTTACCACCGGTACAATTATCCTAGGTTATCGTTACCCCCCGTAAGATTATTCTAGGTTAATTATACCCCTTTCAGTGGGTACGATTATCCTAGGATATTTTTACCTCCCGGTAAGAATATCTTAGGATAATCTTATCTCCCGGTAAGAATTTACTAGGAATATTGTACCTCCAGTGAGGTATGATTTTCCTAGGATATTTTTATCCCCCCTCCCCGGTACAATATTCCTATTTTCCAAAAACACAACACAAATACAATTATATTTTTAAGCTATCTGTTTTTTAATGTGAAGAAAATGGTTAACTAACATTTTTATTATATCTGTTTACTAATTTTAGTTATAATTTAACTCAATACCAACAAATTACTGTTAATAAACTATAGTATGGTTTATACATTATAGGTATATTATATAATTATAAACTTTGTATATTGAATATAATGGGAAATTAAAATACACTATACTCGTATACTATTATTATACTACTATTTACAATTAAACCATTGAGCATGTAGAAATTTCAATGGGGGGGTTCGGGTCCGAACCCCCACGCTTGGGTACGCCCTTGGATTGTACGCACCGTATCTATGCGCGCACTAAATTATAACGCACAATCGTAACGGAAACAAAACGTGAGCGGATAGACAATCGGATACAACAATACTCTGTGCAGTGCAACGACAATTGGCGGCAGTGCACACACGGTTTTTATAATTAAAACGCATAACAGTATACAAAATTATACGCGTAATAGGTACGCGTGTGCGGTGCGTTCGAAAGCGGACGGGTTGATGGAAAAAATGAAGGCAATCAAGACCAAACACAACGATGGTGTGTTGGAAATATCGTATTTTATTGTTCGAGTTTAAAGGTAAAGCGGAAAGAATACCGACCGAGTTACATATTAATTGATTCGTATTTCCATCTAGTTCCCTACGTTTCAACATTAAATGTTGTTACATTACAAGCCCGTAATAGCTAATAGATTCAGTAATTTACTTTTTGCTTAACACTTCGGACTAATGGGTATCCGTAGTTACTGTTTTAATGTACAATCGTTCTTAATATCTTGCGCATTAGCCCGTGTCAACATATTACGAATGGTTGACTTGGATAATTGTTAATCAGTAGAATACGTGTACTGTAGTTGATTCGGACCCGGGACTTAATGACTTGAGCTTACATTTTTTTATACTTCATATATCTTAGCCTGTAGGAAATAAATATTATCCCGAACGATTTGTGAAATAAACTAAAAAAATACATCATAATTACTACATATTAAACAACTTAAATGTCTACGAAATTTTTCTTATTCAATTATCGGATGAACTGAAACCAGGGGCGGACTGACCAAGGGGCAAAGGGGAGCGATTGCTTCCTGGGCTTTCGATAGTGTCATATTAATTACCCGTAAACAAACGTAATATTAAAATATAACGGTAAAACAACAATTATTTATCATTAGAATATCCGAATTTGGATGAATTGAGTACAATTAATTAAAATTATTTACTAATTAAAATGTAATAATCATAAGTCCAGTTGACTCCTCCTCCGGGCCCCTCGATGCCCAGTCCGTCTACAATACGTGAAACAATCGAACAGATTTCATGGCTGAAATTTTCAATCTACTATCGTCTAACCATAATATACTATCGTCTAATACATATAAAATCTCTTAATGGATATCTGTAGTTTAAATTATCGCTCGAGGTTGAAATTGAAATTGTAAACTACTAACTGCTTTTGAAGCCCGCTTCACGGCTATCGATGAACTATCTGACCTCCTGCCATCGGTAAACTGTTATCATAAACATTGCGTTTTACAGTCGCGGTCTAACTATAAATAGTTTGGAGTGCAAAAACCACCCACGGGGCTCAGGAGAATTGTTTTCGAAGTATAAACACTCGGTTTACAAAATCAGTGTCCGCGATAAAACATCTGGAACACCGTTAACAAAATAATCGTCAGACGCATTCGTTTTTCCGAGGCCTATATTTTTACCGACAAGGTTATCGCACTGTGGTTACCGGCACGTGTTGACCGCTGCTACGAAATCGGAAAATCGCAAAATACCGTCCGGGGTAAATGCAGTGGAAAACAACGTAGGTAGCCGTGAAACACTGTGCACGTTCTCGGTGAGAAAAGCCGTTCGGATAAGAACGACGGAAACGAACGGACGAACAACGAGTCCGCGCGCGCTGCCCACGAGAAACGGAACGCACCGACGCGTACACCGCCACGTACGCCACTCGTGCCGCGGTCGACCGACGGGGAAACGGACGCGGGCCGTCGCCCGTTGACCGGTTTTCACGCGCCGTACTCGGCGCACACGTTGCACCGCCGCCGAGAGAAGAAAATAATAATAATAATAATAATAATAATAATAATAATAATAATAATGGTTAACGATAACCGTTACGAACAATATATTCGCACGCGCAACGCGCACCGGTGTAGTCGCGGCCGTAGCGCAGTACAATGATGACGCGCATCACGTCCAGACAACGGTTGTTCCCGGCGTTCGCCGTCGTCGCGTTCCTGTTGATCACCTCGTGGATGACCGCGGCCACGACGGCCGGTAAGCAGCCGAAACGTCCGCCGCGCGCCGCCGACGGGACGGACCGCCGCGGCCACCCGCCCCCCACCACCGCGGCGAGCCGGCCCCCGCGGCACGACGGCGGACGCGGCGGCCGGATTTCGTAACACAACAATTGCACATTTTATTAACTATAAATAAAAATATAAACGATGGTTGATCTGATGATGGTAATAATTGGATCGTTGTCTCGCGTGGTCGCCGCCAACACCGCGATGCTCGCGTGTCGTTTGCAGGCCGGTACGTGTCCAACCTGAGCACCGGCTGCTTGCGGTGCCTGTGCCACGCGTCCACCGCGTGCAACGCGACCATCGGCTGTTCGCGCGGCTACTGCGGCCCGTACTACTTGTACCGCGAGTACTGGAGGGACGCCGGACAGGTGGTGCTGCCGGACGACGACCCGGACAGGGACCAGGCGTTCGTGGACTGCGCGGTGGACCCGGCGTGCGCCCAGAAGGCCGTGGAGAACTACATGGCCAAATACGGAAGGGTGAGTAGCCGGGCGGGCACAACGTGGGCGGGCGGACGGCAAGAATTGTGCGTGAACGCTGTTACCGAGAACAACAACAACAATAATGACATTGTTGCGAACGCGGCGGGAGGGGCGGAAGGTCGGACCGGGTTCCTCCCTCCTTCTTGCGCGCCTGTCGCGCGTTAACTTTTTACGTTCACACGCCGCACAAACCGCAACGGTAGCGGAACAATAGCGAAACAATAATTACAATAATAATTGTAATTATTAGCCAGACGTTTGTTTATAACTGTTTAGCGCGATCCGTCGAGCCCGTTGTCCTGTTTATATGATCGATCGCGTTTGAACACGCTCGGCACGGAACGCGGACGATAATAACTAACCGTCGTTAAGCCAACTCCGGTGCGCAGCACTTTCGAATGGGAGTGGGGATGGTACAACCGAGGGAAAACAACTCGGTTATCTGGAAAGTAAACGAACGGAAAGACTCTAGCGGAATCGGTGAATCGTAGTAATATTATCGGTTACTCTGATGACGAAAACTCGAATCGGTAAACATTCTTATCTACGGTGTATTTCCAAATGTTATGTAACACTACTATGTTTTATCGTACACATTGTTGTCCGAACCGTGTTGCTTATCGTTTTATAAACGAATATTTTATAACATTATTTGTAAATTACCATCACGAACATATAAATAACGCTTTTTCGTAACACCATTAAGTACTTCATAAGCAACATGCGTTAGGGATCGTAATATTTCATAACGCGTTACGTTAGATCTTAAACATTATTTGCATTTTAATTTCGTAACGTCGGCCGCACAAACCGCAAAAATCGTCAATTATTTTGTTTCTTTTGCGTAGAAGATTTTATTGAACTTCAACGTATGAAAAATAAAAAAATATTGTGAATTTTATACTCAATCCCTACACCGAGCGATCGATCTTGTCCGTTCGAATGTTTTGATCCACCGGATCGTTTGACTATCGAAACGGTTCGATCCCGTGTTGTTCCCATCACGAATCTCGAGATCTTCGATTGCGGATAGCGCGCGGTGAAACGTGTTAGCTGTGCTACGCTAGCGCCGCGCGGACGAGCAGAAGAGTTGGACGACTAGTGTCCTTGACGAACAGCCGAGTAAACATCAACGATAACCTAATCCGGATATCGAATAATTATCATTCGGACGTATGCCCAACGTACCGTTTTGCGATCGAACGCGTCACGAATCGAATTTTATCGGTCGCAACGTCATTTCCTCGTGCGCACGGATCGCGGAAAACAATGAACACGCCGATGTTCTCAATCGAAAATAATGTTTCAAACGGTTTCGTCCGATTCGAATTTAGTATGATTTTAACGATCGGTACGGAGATTGTTTCGGAGTTCATAACTGCGTTGAACATTTTTTTTCCGTTCTCTACGTATAACTAGAATGTGGCGCGGGGACCTACAGCGAACGAATGCTGCTGTGATTTTTTTATGCTGCCGTAAGCGTATAATATCGTGTTTTCTTGCGAATACCTAATTAGTAATAATTAGGTACGCGGTTGTTTTTCATATTAGAACCACGACATGCGCAGAACGTACGTCCCTTTTATATGGGTACATCATTGTTTCTTGTGAATTACAATTCTTATATTCTCCGGTCTAGATGTTAAAAATATGGTGACTATTAATAATTTAATCACTGATTAAAATCACACGTGGCACGGTTTAAAGTTTTACCAAGAGAAATGGTTCGATTTAAAGTGGAACAACGATATTTTACACCACAAGATCTATAAATAATATACGTCATCAAGACCGTGATAACCAAACTATTAAACTGTCGAATGGTCAATATTAATTTTGCAAAAGAAATTCAAAATATTACAAAAATTAAATACACCGTCCCGGCGTTGTAATGGAAATGAAAAACAACAGTGCAATAATTTTTTTATCGCACAGAACATAAATATTATGTTCATTATTTGTTTACTCACGGTACATAATAAGAACGTAAAAATGTAATTAATAAAACCTATTTAAAAACTAATTTACAAACTGTGAAATACTTTCAAATCATTATTCGTCTCAGTCAATTACAACGATACAGGAGTTATCAAGGATAATATACATTCTCAATCTAATATAGGCATTTGGAGACAGTTTCTAATGTTTACATGCTATAAATTTTATGAGCTGACTCAAGTGATTTCAGTATTGGCTTTGAAAGTGAGAAGCAATTTACGAATTTTAAAACTGAATTTCCAATAAATATACTTAAATCCAGCTTTCGAACATATAATATTTTACTAAATTAGTTATGACTGTTATGTAGAGCAATGATCTTCAACCGGGAGATTGCGACCCAATTTTGGGTTGCGTAAACTATAAGATTGGGTAGTGATAAGTCTTTAGATTAAAATTTAAAAAAAAAATCATTTGTATTATAATAATACAATCTTATATTATATTATGTATATGACATCGGATAAAATAATTTTCCATTAAATTTGAAACTGTGCTATTTTTTAGAAGATATAAATGATCTATGAAGTAAATTATAGCCATAACCTGACATCATTGATAAAACTCAATCACCTTATCTATATATTACACAGTGTAAAAAGAACTGTGATAGAGTATTTTTTGTGAAATCATTCAAGGTTAATTATGGCATTACTTTTTTTTTCTGTATCATTATAAGAATTTTTTTTTGTATTATTACTTATAAAAAAAAATTAAATATAAACTAGATACTAAGAAAAATATAAATTTTTATTTATTCAGTTTAAAATTCATTTTTACAGTGCATATATATAAAGCAATTTTATCTTTTTACTTGGTTTGCATGACTAACGAAACTAATATGGATCGCAAAAATTGAATGGTAAGAAAAGTGGGTTGCGAATTAAAAAGGTTGAAGACCACTGATACAGGGTGACTTATTCCACATAATATTATGTACTTGTGATCGTTTGTCATTACCGCTTGTTGGCAATATTAAATTACAAGATTCATAGATGTATATTATGTGAAAATATGAACTGTGTCAATTAATTTAAAATAGATGCTAATGTATTTCATAGATATATATATCCATATGCATATATATTTATAGTTAGTCTAGAGGTTGGTATAGTTTGATATTTCGATACCGGAGTTTGATAAAAATAAAAATACCAGTATACAGATATTATTACTTTTTGATATTTACAACTTGTGGAACGAGCTTACGGTACATAAGTTAACGGTAAGTTTACGTTAGCTGGTCGGATGATATTGTTATTGTCTTGAAATTCCAGTATCTATCACTAAATCATATGGTTTTTCGGAAGTATTTTCATATTAATTTAAATTCGTTTTAGTTTATTAGATTGTGAGCTACCGTACAACCAGTGGCGTAGTTACGGGGAGGGTGTAAGGGGTTTCCACCCCCCCACAGATTTTTTTTTTAATGATATTTGATTATTATTTATTAATATTTATATATTATAGTAAAATATTTTGATTTTACTATGATTAGGTATATATTAAAAATTGAATAACAAAATAATTTTCATTAATACGGGACATAATAACACTATTTTAAATGTAATATTATATATGATCTCGTTTTAAGATATACTACGAACACTTAAAAACTTACTCTTAAACACCCCCCCCCCCCCCCCCCCCCCAGAAAAGAATTGTATCTACGCTACTGCGTACAACCTACATATATGTAAGTGCTCATTAAAAAAATAAATAAAAATAATAATACGATCTAACATATATTTCCTATCGATGTAAATAATACTAATAGCTGTCTTAGTCCTCGGTATTACGGCAGCGGCGTTCAAAGTACTGATATTCTCTAAATACTATAGTAATCGATGATTGTTATTCGTGATAACAATAATCGATTATGACGTACCATAACGGTAACCCGCGGCTTGTTTTGTGCAAACGAAAAATGTTATTATAATAGATCGAAATATTGTAATGATATTTTCGAAAACGTATTAAAACCCTAAAAACTCCAATCTTGAAAAAGTCTTCTGTAGAATTTGAAATAATATAAAATATATAAGATACGTAGGAATATTTTTATACGTATTTATTTTTTATTTTGACGGATCCCTACGGCTTTCGGGTAAAAATGCGGCATCCAGCACTGAACATGAAAGCGTATCGTGAACGAGTGTAAGAAACATGGGCAAAATAATAATGAAACGTGATCAATCATAGGAAACGTCAGGTGTTTTCATCGATCGCGACGGTTTTAACTTAACGTTTCTCGTCCGCAGGATTGCAACAACGATGGAGTGACGGACTGCGACGATTACGCGAGGACTCACTTCAACGGTAAGGAGGACTGTTCGGCCATCGACAGGACCAATTTCTGGAGGCGATACGAGACGTGCCGCCCTTCCAAAAACAGAGGTAAGTTCGGACGGGATGTTTTCACAAGAGACTGTGTGCATAATACATGACGCACGACCGAGACGGGGTTGAACACGTGCGCGTCGCGGGTGTAATATCCCGTCTCTATAAACATCAATATTAAACCGACCTCTTTCCGGTCGCCTCCGTTTAGCCAACAAGATATCTTACCACGTCTTCACTGTGCAAACACACACACACACACACACGCACGCACGCACATACGCATACAAGCACACACTCACACGAATAAGACGAGGATAAAGTGTTGGCTGTGTACACGTATGAATATGAATTATACAGGACACCGCGGTACCTGCACTACGCGTAACCGAGTACGGACGTGCGCAAAGGACGTTTTGACGGCCCGAAAACGGTCCGACTTAAATATATTATCGTTTTCGAGTCTGCAGTGGCGGTGCGTTAACGTTAGGTGCGCGTAAACGTGTTCGGCAGTGCTCGCACCGCACGTGGACGTGATGTGCGCGCGACGCGGTCTAACGCTTTTCGCCCATGTGCCCATCATATAAGGCGTGTCTGTATCGTATCAGGGGGAGGTTTATCATTTACCAAGGGGAGGGGGGATAATGGAGGATCAAGGATTTAGTTGGTTGTTTTTTAAATCTACATACAATTTTAAATCACAGAATATCTTTTTTGAGTCCTTCATAAGTAAGTCATTATTTTCACAATAGTGGCAAATTTTAAATAGTTACATTATTGGTATCGGTTTTAATTCGAAACCATTTTAAAAATATAGGTATACATATATAATTAATAAAAAAAATGAGCTATTTATTTATAAAAAAATATATATAAAATAGGTACCATATTCATCAATGACGATTGACAATATTTTATAATAATTATTAATTTATCAATATATCATAAGACTTGTCTTTGTAAAATAGTTAGCTTAGTCCCAACGGGGGGCCACCCCCTTAAACCCGCCCCTGACGCGTATTTCCAATGCGGACTTATGTGATCGAGTGCACCGATCATTTTATGTCTACGATGGTTGCCCGCACTGTGCAAAGATCTATACGTACACCGTCGCTTTATACACCAAATCGGTGCGTACAGAGTGGTTCTTTTAACGATAGTCCTAAAGGCTACGTTTAGCGAAATTCGAGTTTCGTTTCTCGCTCCGTTATTGCTGGATAACGTTTTCTCGTCTAATTACCATTATATATAATCATGTTTTCGTATTTTCGCGAAATACATTCATAAGAGTACTCACCGTGTTTCGGTGACGATTCGAGTGCGGTGTGCACTATTGATTTCTCAACAGGATCGCGTATCACATTTTAATTGGATGACCGCCGAAAAAGATTATTTTTCCGAAGTCGTCCGACGAACACGAATACATCTACAGTTCACTCATACTTTGATTGATATCTACAATATATTCATATTTGGTTGATTCGCGTGCGTAAAAAAATATCGTTATATACGTACAAATTCGTAATGTTCCGGTAGTACAATAGTGTTTTTACTGCAATGCTAAAATGATGCGAATAATTTAGTGACAAAATTAAACAACTTCGTACGCGCATACCACCTAATATACATACAAACACATACATGTATATTTATCTATACATATAAAATCCAAATACCACTGACTGACTGATCGCTGTATCTCAAAAACTACGCAACGTATGGACTTGAAATTTGGAATATAGGTTCTTTTCATATTTTCGCCGAACAATAAGAAAGGATTTTTCGAAAATCGCATATTTAAGGGTCGACACTATTTTGGATTGGATGCATACATTTTTCAATTTTTGGTTACCAAGGAAATATTTGATTTGTTTAATATGTTGATTTTAATAATCGAAATCATAATTTTAAACGGAAAATTTAAAGGTGAACATGTACTATTACCACGCATCCCAATGACTCCAACAGATAAGCCATTGGAATTCAAACTTTTGCAGTTTCCAATGCGACTCGCTTTTTCAATGATCATCCACATACACTTTAATAAATAGCATTTATTCGGAACCTCGAACTGTCAGACTTTTCTCAATAAAATTAATGAATAAAAAAATAATAATCCAAAATAAGAAGGTATAGGTTCAACGGTAACACCCAAAAAGAATTGAACACTCAAAATTTTCTTAATGGGCAACGTCAGGTATAACTCACCAACATAACTCACTTATTGATCATCGCCACATCTCAAAACTATATGAACTTGAAATTTGACATGGTGGTCTCTCCAATATATAAAACGTGTAATAAGAAGGGATTTTAGAAAAATATTGGAACCAGCAAATACGATAATGCAGAGGTATCACCAAAATTACTATACTGATTCATTTGAACTTTCATTTTATTTGTTTTATAACCACCAATAGTTATACCGAACTTGGCTTTAAATAGTGTAAAGTAATAAAACCAATGTCACAGCCAAGAATGTTCCGTGCGAAACCGGGTGTGTGTAATAATTGCAATAATGATACTATCAATAATATGTGCGATACACATTTCGTTGATTTACGAACTAATATTACAATCTGAGGGTACAAATATGATAATATTAAATACGTCGCATTGCAATAAAATCGTAATACGAAACACTAAGAGATTTATTGAATGGAAATATTATCATAATAATATACATGTATACATAAAATAGGTTTTACAATAATTATAATATAGGCTCTATTATTATAATAAATAGTACATTACGTCTACACATAAAAAATTGGTCGTTTGACTAGTAAAGAAATGAATAAACATTATATCAGACTTAATTCGTGAATGAATAAAATTACATCCTTAAATCTATTTATAGTTTAGATACATAGTATTATATAATGTATTCTATACGCTACGTACACATACAAATGTAAATCACAGAAATGGGGTTTAAAAAAGTGGAAGCCTTAAGTAAACACACTACAAATACATACAAATTACATTCTAAAATATTTTTATTTAATTTGTACACACTATATGATAATTAACGTTTACATTTAACCGTGTTTTTTGGCCTCTATTTTATGCGTCAAGTGAAATATTTTTTTTTAACATTTACGTTTTGTTGTACCACGCTTATTTTAATTAATAATTTAATTAACATTACACAGGATTATTAACTATTTGTGATTTTTTTTTTTTTTTTGTTTCAGGATCATTTAACTGACGTTTTGAAAGACAAAACTACATTATATACGGGAGTTTATACACAATATAGTGTTAAAATGTTATATATTATTCGCATATGTCGACATTGAAATTAAAATGTACTATTTATTTTGTTATGTATATAAAAAAAAAGGGATAGAAACCTAATATTATATTCATATTATTCATTTAACCGCATTCTTAGTCACGCGCGATATCGTTCAGGGAATGGGACTGAAAAAAAAAGCAGACGTTTCACGTCGTGTCGTCTTATTATCTTATTCGTTTTACACAATATTATTACACGCACGTACATGCATGTAAATAATATGCAACGTCGTTGGGTACCAGCAGATAAACGCGCTGGGTCGAGAACAAAAAATAAAAATAAATGTATAAATAAAATAATAGTGAGTGCGCTCTACGTGATCGCGCGTGACTACGTGCGTAACATCGTGTACTATGGTTTGTGGTTCTTAAATTGTAAGAACCGCCAGAATTTGAATTTACCGAGTATCCTCCGTAGACCGTTTTTCGATCGATGGTCGCGCCTCAGGTCCACCGTCGACGAGTCCAGTTTGCTGCACGAAGACGACCGAGAACAAAAAAAAAAAATTAAAAAATAAACTAAATAAATAAAGAAACACGTTAAAAAAAAAAAAACGGAATATCGCAACGCGTCAGCTGTACCGCGTGTCAACTGAGCTGATCGTTACCGAGATGAACGCGGAGACGAGAACCGTTTTGGATCGGTCGCGAAAATATATTGTATTAAAAACAATATGTATAACAATGTATTTTCAACCGGGGCCCCGCGGGGATCGGAGGACGTGGTTAGGATATTCTCCAGGCGTGTTTTCTTTACCTTTCGTTTATGTTTACATTTTTTACAATTAAAAACAGCAAGAAAACAAAAACAACTGGATTACGCGTTATTACATTTTAGCTACTTCTGACGAAAATTTGCAAAAGAGAAAACTCGTTCGCGTGTACAGATATTCGAAACATATTCGGTTGGCACTATGGTATACCACGAAGGTTTTAACGAAGTATCGCCTGGAGAAATTTATATTTAATAAATTTAATTTAATTAAAGAATTTTATTTATTAAACTTGTACGGCAGAATTTATTTCCAACGTTTCTCGTATGAGTTGTGTGGTCGATAGTTTTATTTTTATATTCATTCCATACACTTTATAAGTATGTACATTCTTCACATGTACACTGTCCTTTCTTTCATAATTCATTAGATTGATTTTTATTTAGTTTATTTTTAAATCCGTTTTACTTTAGATTTCCATAAACTTATAAATTACTTGATGTATTCCAATACCATATAATCCACACTATCTATTTACATTGTTTAAAATTATTTAAATTTATATTGTTGTCGAATATTTAATAATTTGTTTTGCAATCTATGACTGAAAATTAATTTTAAAAAATATATAAATATGTGTGGTTGAGCACAAAAAGTCGTTGATTTTCAGATAAAAAATATAAATGTGTGCAATGTAGTGGTACTGGGTGAGGTTAACGTTTTGAATGTTTTTGCGACATTAACAGTGTTGGAGAGAATTCATTACACATGCATTACGTTTATATTTTCCCCTCCCGATTGCATTGATTAATATTTCTTCGTCTTGTAAATATATCGTTTATGCGCTTAGCACAAATAGTGTTAAGTTCTTTGGTAATATTCTATTTTTCATATTAAATTTTGATTCGTAAACTGACAACAATGATAGGTACTTTGTTATAACGAAGAACACATAGTAAACAAGACAATCCGGAGAAAATATCGTGAAAACTCACGCAAATAGTTTTGCAAATTCTCTAATCCCCCTCTCCCCAGTATAAACGAAAGCCGTACTTGTCTTGGTGGTCAGTTAAAACGTCAAAATCATCAAGTTTCAATCCAACCGCATCGAAAAATATGTTCGTAGAATAAGAAATTATTTCATAAAAATATAGCAACATCTCGATAATATTACTTGGTACAATTATTTGAAAGAACGTGAACGAATATTTGGAATAAAAATGAACAAGAATAAATGGAAATGTTTTTTATAAATATATATTATATTGGATTGGACGTATTGTGTGTAGAGTCTACACTGTAGACACATAAAATATCTTTAAAAACAATTACTCAAGAAGAATGTTATTGTACAACTAAAGTATATTAAGTTTCAAAAATAACATCTCATACTGTATTGTTCAATAAACGTTTCAATATTATATATTTTACATGTAATATTGTTATTTTGTTTTTTACTGTTGATATACGGTAACGGCTACTATGGTTATTGGCAAACAGTGGTGACAATGGGTGTTCATCCTTTATGGTAATATGGAATTCAAATCTGGGTTAATGTTGTTCCATCTAATATACATAAAATGTAATATTTTCAATCCATCCTCTTACGCACTATTACAAAATAACCCTGATATAGTATGGTAACAAAACTTTACTTCCAAATAATATACCAAATAACAAAACCTTCTTATAAAAAAATTAGGTCTCCCACCAATTTCAATAGAAGTCATCTTTTTACATTATCAGTAAATATTTATTGACAATTCGATACGAAAATTGAAGCGTTAATAGTATAGATATATCCTCTGATTAAAACTTCTAAAAAAAAAAAAAAGTAAAAGGAAGCCAGTTGGTAGTTGAGCTATTGTAGATCCACTGGATCCTTACTATATCGTGTCAATTTTCAAGCTATATTTTTATTGAATTATTATTGTTACTATTAATTGTTGTGCTCATTAACAAAGCAAAGTTGTAAATTTCATATTCAAAATAAACTCAAAAAAAAAAAAATAAAAAAAATGATGGGCCTGATAGTTAAGTAAAAATGGTAACATTGGGGAGGGGGAGGCTAGTTTTTAGAACACGTAATTTTATGACATAGATACGTCACTAAAAGCTGGTTGGTTATCTGTCCGGAAGAGTATCCTAGCATCCAAGTTTTGGCGTCTAACCCTCATACTTATTAGGGACTGACTAACATGCGTTGATCATGGTCCTAAATTGTACTATACTTTGTTTATATGTTTGGTTTTTTAAACTTGATTAATTCATCGTCAAAGTATACGTTGTTGTAATGAATTACTAACATGAAAATATGGGTATACTGCGTGCTGGATTAGTGTCGGAAATTGAAATCGATTCGATTTTATTTAACAGACGAAATCACATTGCATATGATAATGTTCAAATTTTACCGGAGTAATCACGCTTAAAACGCTTTCGGATTTAGAATTTTTTATTTTTATTCGGAGTTTGCATGGATGAAGAAATTTGAACAATTTGGTACGACAATGAAGAACCTGAACTATTCGGATCGCATCTCTTTATTGATAATAATTTGAGGTGCAAGAAGTGTTTTATCTCGGGAAAATGTAAGTAAACCCCAAAACGCAAGTCATAAATCAAAAAGTCAATATTATGAATTATTACTGCGGCTGGGATTTCGATACACTAATTAGTATCAAGAACAATTTAATTTTTTAATTTTGTTGTTACGTGAGTTCATCATTATTTATTGTTTGAAAATATAGAATATAAATTAATGATACTTGCACGCTGTAACGTACCTATATTTTAATTGGAAAAAAAAATGTAATATTATTAAATGTAAAAATGGTTTAATATTTCATCAATAACGAATTACCCTTTTTTTTTTCATAAATATGTTGATATAAGACTTTTTAAAAATTATCAAATAAAGGCAATTGGAAAATACGTAAATATGTTAGTAACATAACCTTTGCTCCCCCTTAAATACAATTTTGAGTTACAATATGCTCTTGTTTTATTTATCATCATTGTTCAACAATTAATCGTCATATACGTAACAACATATAGATATTTGTAACTGATCTGCAAACAAATCAGAAAATTTCGCTTGCTAACCTGACAGTTACAGTATAACGATCAGTGATTTTAAAAGTAAATGGCTAAAATAGAAGCATTTTATAGTTGTTCAAACACCACAATGGTTTGAATTTTCGCGCCATAGCATGTCGTTCATTGTGCCATGAACGTCTTGAACTTTCGAGAATTTTCATGGCACTCCCTCCCCCCCTCTAAATCTCGGGGTAGTCCTGATAACCGGTCTGCGACTTGGCCTTTGCGGTCTTTGTCTTTTACGTGCACTCGTGCGCGATACACTTTCGTCTCTGCGTAATCTTCTCGCGTTGGTCGCCACACGGAATTTGTAAGTCGTTCGAGTTTTTTCGCCCATTGTCGGCCATATTTTCTTGGGTTGGATCGTTATTGTCATCGTGATGTAACTATTTGGTGTTGTGTCATTGTCCGCAGGCGTCAGGTTGACCATCCTGTGGTTGGTGATATCTTTTGTCTTTTGTATTTTATTTATTAATTATGTTTATATTCTGATTAAGATTATATATCGTTTGTATGTTTTACGCCCATATGGCGTTATTGTGAATATTATTATTATTTATTTAGCAAGGGCGGCCGCATTTTTATAACATTTTATTTTGTATTAATATAATTAATTATTTATTGTAATATTATTACGTACCCGAACTCGGGCGCATCATCATATATCTGGTTTTTGTTTATTTTTATATATAATTCGAACAATGGTAATTATTACCTGGTCCTTTATTACGCGAGTCAGAGCCGCCGACCACCATATTCGTAGGAGTGGTTCTAGCGCAAACAATAGTACTGATATATCTTTGGTATTGTGTTTGTTTAAATGTTTATACGATATTATCTAAAGTGCTACTTACATTACCATACATCTAGTGTTCTACATTTTTGAGAGATATTCGTATATATTAGGGTGAATATATGTAAAAAAAAAAAGTACAGAACATATATATTTTTTTATTGATTTTTAATTGTGAAAAAACATAATTTTTAATAACACTGTATAAGATTAAATTTATGTACTTTACTTTTTTAAAAAATGTATAAATTCATTTTGATGACGATTGTTCAGATATGTTTTCACTATTTGATTTTTCATATTTTTCTGAAGAAGTAATTAGTTTTAATAATGGTGGATTTTCTAAAAGAAATATATGAAATTCTGTACATGATACATTTTATAAAATGTTGTTTTAAGATTATTATCAATCTAATTGTGTCCACGAAAAAATCGATTTTTCTCATCTGTCCATAAAACATTTGTAATTTAAAATACTCTTTCTACCGATGCGTTAGTTCCGGGAATAGCCATTTAATGCTCTAAAATAACCGTAAAATATATAATTGGAATGCAATTTTTTTCTAAAATTTTAAATATTTCACACCACCTATTTTCGGCTTTTCAACCATTTCCAGTTTTGAAAATTAACTTTCATTACATTTATCACATGATTAAATTCGTCAAAAAGTTCATCTTTATCGAATTTCAATGTTGGATTGTTCTTAATAATATATTTCAAACTTTCTTGAATATCAATCCAAATTGGAAAATCTAGTACTTAAATCCAACGAAAAACTTTTAGTGGTTCAAAGTGATATCCCCATTTTTTCAAAACGGTCAATCCGATAACTCAGATAAGCTCCGATAACTCGTAGACATTCTTCTCAAACTGATAAATTCAAACAATCACAAGATTATAATTATAATCATTATACATTACTTTCGTAAGTTTCGTTTTCAAATTAATTTCGTTTGATCAAAAAAACAGGACAAAAAGTTTCCTGAAAGAAGTTTGTTAGGACAACAGGACACTATGCTGAAATAAAGGACAACCTATAAAAAACAGGACGTATGGTTACCCTAGTTACTAGTTTCATAGTGTCGTTTTATGTTATATTCTTTTATAACTGCAATAGTTTCTTTACATATTATGCACATACCTTTATTTTTCCATTCTATACAAAAGTAATCGTCTTCCCACTAATTTTTAAAAACACGACATTCCCAGTCGATTTTCCGTTTTTTGTTAGACATAATGAATATTTACAATACACAACGTAATAACAACATTAACTTTATATTAGTCCTGACCACAGACGAATAATGATTGATCACGGTGGCTGTAGAAACTACAATGTAGATAAAATTGGTCGCCCAACGAGCACAGTAATATTACTATATGTTGTATTACTATATACTGTTATACTACTAATATAATTGTAGTATTGTAGTTTCTACAGCCATGGTGATCGTATGAAAATAAGATAAGATACGGTAATGCTATTTATATTATTAAATTACATTGTAACAACAAAAACGCTACGATATGGCGATACGGGATTAAATATGATGAATGTATACTGTATTTTTAATTTTTTTTTTTTTACGTTAATGTAAAATATTACTTCTTTCGCGGGCCAGATATTAAATGATGGCGGGCCGGAGTTGGCCCGCGGGTCGTAGTTTGGCCACCACTGCCCTAGTATAGATGATTTATTGCTTTAATTTTTGCTTATCGTTTCGATATTGGCATTAACTTTTACATTTACATTTCTGTTACAGATACGTTGACCTTTGATCAGGGGCGGAACTAGGGGGTAGAAGATGGGGATTCATCCCCGGAAGTATAATTTAATAGGGTGTAATTTTTGTAATTATCAACAACTAATTTAATATTTTGAACTTTGTTAAATACTGACTGACATAGTACTAATATATAGGTTAAAACTCAATAAGTATGATTGTATATATTAGAAAATTGTGTATATTATTAGAAAAAAGTTCTGAAGAAGAGTATTTGATTATTGGTCTATGATAGGGCGTAATTTTAACATTTTTTCCGGGCGTAAAAATTCCTAGTTTCACCTCTGCCCTTGATAATAGCAATACAATTTGCTCTTCCAAACCAACGTGTTTTCACAGAATTATATTGGCAGTACAGCTGTACAGGACGCAAAGGAAGACGAAGGAACACAGAAAACCATCAGTGAACTGTTAAATTAAGTTACTATACAATTATAATAATTACAAGTAGATACAAAGAGTATCGTGAATTTATGTTACATATAATATGAATATATGCTAAGGTAATTGACATTTATAGGTTATTTTAAAATTGTTCGACTATTTTCTAGCGAACAATGAACATTTGATTTTGAAAGAAAAACAACAAACATCAAATCGACTACTATAGGTTACGAATAAAAACGCACAGAAAATGCATAGAACAACTTCTGCTTACGATACATTGACCGATTCCGATACGTCATCAGAAGTCACTAGTGTGAGATCAAACAATGACAGGCTAATGAACATGTAGCAAATACAATTTTTAAATTATATAAACGTGTGTGATGTGTCATCGGTTCGAAATCTATTAGAAAATCACAGCGATTTTGACTTGAACTGCAAAAACTACTAAGGAATGACTGGTTTGAATCAGGACATTGAAATCCATTGCGAGCAAATGGTTGATCTCCTGCTATCCAGGCATGAGCTTGAAATCGAAAATTCGTTGATGTACGCTATTCTCGAAAACCAGTATTCAATTGTTGTCAAGTTAATCGATATTTTACAATCGGAAAACCCAGAAAACGGCAAATTAGGTTATGAGTATTCCACTAATTCATATAATATCTCACGCCCCTTATGTTGGCAGCCTAGTGTGGGCATGTGAAAGTCATCACTGATGACTCATCAGTCTGTTGCTGAAACGTGGCCATACAATTTCACTGACCTATAAACCACAGTGTTTATGCAAAGAGGTCAGTTTGGTCAACTACTCGTATTATCTGAATTTTTATCTGTTTATTTTATTATTTTTACTTGTGTAGATTTTTAAGTCGTTGGCTCAACTCAATAACGGTCTTGGGACCGCTGAGCTTAAACTTTCCGTATTCCGAGCACTCGCCAATCCGTTGTACATCTCACTGACGTTACAAGATCCGATTCTTACAGCTTTCTAGCTCAGCAAGATACTGCTAGACAACGGAAACGTAGACTGCATATTCAAATCCGATTACGAACTCTTGAATTTACAGACACAAATGTTCGCCGTCTATTTGATTGGTTTGTATCGGTCGTCTAGTGAGGTGGAGTAAATACTCACCAGAAAAGAAGAATGCAGCTTCTTCGGTGCTTTTCCATACCAAAGACTAGTGATGGCAATGGATCTAAAGTAAAATAAATTGTGGCTCAGGCCTACATACAATAAACACTGGAAACATCATGGTCTGGTAATTGGTTTGAATGGAAACGATACAATGCGGTGCATAAGATTTTATAATATTCCTGAGACTGATTTTATTACCAATGATATATTTCTTGTACTTGATATCACCGTTCTCGAAGAATGACCATCATTACACACTGCCCGTGAACCGGATGATCAATTATTTATCGTCGTACGTTTCTGATGATCCTGACCCTAGAAAATAATTTGGACAAATCAGGATCTATGAGAGATCCTCTGGATTTGATTTTAAAAATTTCAATAGTTGTTTACGAATTTTCGTTTATAGTTCGTATTGTAAAACTGGCTTTAGTCGAAGAACCCAAAATATATTTCAGTATGTTGTGGAATATTTACGACTGCTTGCAACTAAGCATATTGGTCACGACGATCGCCTGCTGGTGAACAACCTATTTAAATTTGCGAGCCGAAGACGATGGTCTTGCGATGGAACGAAAATATTGGCAGCCCTTGGATATGAGATTGATCGCCGAAGGGTTGCTGGCTGTGGTCACTGTTATGTCATACTTTTACGGCTGTTATTCTTGTGCCAGCTTAGTTACGCACTGGGTCCTATGTAAGTGTCACTGGGAAAAATGACTACTGACTTTGCTTGGTCCGTAATACTGTTTGGCATCATCGTTTTGGCTTTCACTGCCGGCTTGTGTAGGTTTTACCAATACTACAGTTGAATGACGAAAATCGATTCGGTCACCGGCTATGAAATCACACAAGAAGAATCGTTTATTGACATTTTGTCCACCTTGAAAACCCTATTTTGGGGCATATTTTGTATGAAATCATCCACCGCCGGATCGGTGGTGATCAACACAACAATGAACGACAATATAAATGAGGAGTTTGTGGCTAGCAATCATGATTTCGCCCAAGCCATTGGCACACTTTTATTTTCGTTATTCGAAACCATTTCTGTCATTGTTATATTAAACATTTTAAAAGCTACAATGACTAACACTTTTCAGAGGGTAACCGGAAACTCGTATACAGAACGCAAGTATTCTTGTCATTTTCTATGTATACTGAACTACCGCCACCCCTGAATTTTATACCTAAACTTCACTATGGTATAGATATTTTCGGATGTTTACGAAATTGTTGTATGGCCGGTGTAACCAGTGTTGTAAATTTGACATTGTCTAGAGGATACCACACAAAATAAAATTCCGAAGATGAAAGCTACAGAATATTAATGACTAAACTTATCAGAAGATGTTTTCAGGATAAACTGTCCAGTGGTTATGTTCAAAAATAAACCTTATTTGTTGCTAACTAATCTAATTTAATTTATCTTTTTCTATTTCGTGCTGAATTTGTATTGTTACTAAAAATATATATTTAATAAATACAATGAGGTTTTAATAAAAATATAATGTTACAAGCAAAATAAAATTCTACGTAACTTAATCGACCTGAACAAAATAGTAATGTTTCTCATATAACTTTTCTGTAACCACGTAGGGTCCAAAAAATACATTTTGAATCGATCGAAATCTCAGTGCTGAATCGCGTCATCAAAACTTCATTACATCATATATATTAGCAATCCGACCTAAGTTCAGGTACCTGTATTTAACGGCCGTTGTGTCTCTGTCATCTTCGTCGTCGTCGTCGTCGTCATCGTCGTCATCGTCGTCGTCGTCGATATCGTGTTCGTTGTGTTCGTCATCGTCGTCGTCGTCACCACCGCCGCCACCTCTACCACCGTCTTCGTTGGTGGTGAACGCTTCTGCCCAACCAGCGGCCGCGCCCGCATAGTTGTGTTTCCTCCGTCCACCGTCGCTGACCGCTTGCTGCCGGTTGACCGTTTTGCCGGTGCCCATCGACCGGGACCGGACGGCCACCGCGGCGGACGCGTGTCGTCGCAGTTTGATCGGCAGGCTGTGCGACCGAGCGGACGTCGTGGTGGCCGCAGCCACGTTGTGGCCCGCGGCCGACGGGGTGGACGCCGTGCGGCCGTCCGACGACCTCTTGAGCCGCAACACTCGGGCCCGGCACACGACGCATCGCAACGGCAACGACCGCCGGGACACCGCTATCTGGATGGTGCGCACCAGGCACTTGCGACATACCACCCGATGGCCGCACGGCCACGTTTGCATCGTCGCCTTCGAGTTCACGCATATCACGCACTGCGACGTGAAAAAAAAAATTAAAATCGAACGTATTAGTTATGTATTTTACAATCGATGTACGTATGTAGTATGTAGATAACATGAAAAGTGACTGCATTCTTTAAAAAGATCTAATTTCCTAAATTATATTATACAATTTTATTGAATTTTTTATCATAATATACATATATATTCGGCAGTGGTGCCGAAGTGTTTGAAAAATACTATAACATCGTATATCAATGGGCCACTTACCCTATATATTTATCCTTGTAGTTAAAATTCTTTATACATAACATTCTGTATCTACGACCAGAACCCAATACTCAAAGGTGGGCCCCCAACCTACAAAATCTAATATGACCTGTGATGTACAGTGTATGCGACCATTTTATTTTACATATTTTTTATATTAATACTCGTATTTAAGTATAATCGAGAAATTTCAAAAACATTTTAACTTGATAGATCTTTTTTAGATCAACTGTGGAAAGTTAAGTTATTACAACTGTCAAATAAACTGAGTTAAAAAGTTTATTAGAAAATTAACTAATTAAGTTAAAAAGATAAAAAAAAATATAACTTTTTAACTAATTAATGCTTATCTTTGCTACCTACCAATAATAATAATAATTTATATGATCGTGCGGGCAATATTAGTATTTTGTTCACACACGAGAACATTTTTTATCCACACTTTCCATGTACACTGTGAACGATCTGCACATATGTAATGTATACCTATTAATTATACATATACTAAATACTAAGTACAAGTAAACGTGCATGGACTTTATGCGGTACGACAGTTTATATGTACTGTAGATATGTTATAGCGTACGCGTGTTGTAGAGATATTTGATTTAGAAAATTGGCATAATGTCTGACAATGCCACGTGAAATTCGTACACGCTCTGCATGCATTCCTTCAGAAAACGATCCATAAACGTGTTATCATTTTACAAATTATAATTATTTCTTGTTAAAAACTGTTTGTTTTTATGATACATGTGCTTATTTTGTATTAAATTAATTTACTATTTACGCCTCAATCGCTACTAATGTATATTTCTTATATATATATGAGTATATAGGTCAAGTTACATATTATAGACAACAATTTTATATTATGATATATATTCTATGTATATGATATATTTAGAACACTATTATTGAAACTTTATTATATTTTATCTGTATTCCTTAATTGTATTTCTCTAATATGTGTTATCTTAAAAATAACTATATTTATAAACACATTGTGTCCATTAGCAACTCACGTGAGCAGTCAAATGATGTGTCTTATCTATTAAAATTGTTTATACGTATATATAAATATCAGTTTCATAATAAGATTCAAGTGTTGAGTTTTGTGTCCTAATTCCTAAAATTAAAAAAAAAAAATACTTCATGGTCCTTATGTTCTTCTTCAAGCATGTTTTAATCAATACTTTTTTTTTGTGTATTATACAATTTAAAATATTTTTTAGTTCAATCAAATTTACTACTTTCACGAATATTATAGATTTTATATATTCCTTGAAAATAAATTTAATAAATGAATCATTAAGGTTTTGTGAATATTTTACATTATTTTAAATATTATACAACGGACTTTATATTTTTATTTTTGGTATTTTTAATAAAAATAATACACCAAATACGTTTTCAACTATTTATTTTTTTTTTTAAAAAGCTATAATTTATTCGACCCGCTATCCGTCGATCCTTATAAACTTCCGAAATAATGTTGTTATTCCGTAAAAATAATTTAATATTTAAATGCGCTGTACAAAATTGTTATTTACTTTAAATATTTAATTATTTTATACATATTTTTTTATATTATTAGTCGGTTAAACGTGTTCCAATTTAAACATCTTATTTAATTACATTTTCCACATTAAACTATTCCTCAGTTTATGAGGAAGCGTAATTTTACACATGTATATACATAATGGAAGACTAAATGCACCGAGTTCTACAATTTCTCGTTTTATATTAAATTTATATATGCTCTTATACGGTTCTACGAGTATATATGTATAATACTATTATGCATGTACACGGTGTACCTATACTGCAGGTTCTGGCGGTTTAAAGCAGAATGTTTTTACTGAATAGGGTTCAATTTTAAATTCCTTGCGTGTTTTAGTGCAAGTAATAAATGTAATCAAATTCAACGGCTCGGGTGTGTTTGAATGAGCTTCATTTGAAATGTTGAACGACTGAGCAGGTAGAAGAGGTTAGTTTCAAACATTTTTACAGCTCGGATAAAGTTTTTTTATACTGAATCTTGGTAATAATATCCATTTAATCATGTTGGTGTATGTTGGCCGTACAATAATATATTTCAACAATCGAAAGTTTAAATTTTTTTATTTATTTTTTTTATTTTTTTCATAAAGCAATAATTGTTAGTTACTATTATTTATTTATAATTTTTATTTGAATACCTATCCATAAAGAAGCGTATTCAATAAATAAATAACTATGTGTCGATTACAATAACAGTATAAATCACTATCTCGGAAGTTACGTAATTCATGTACGCTAATAGTTTTTATCTAATCACAGTGCAAAATGAATACGCAGTAATGGTATGGTATACCTGACTGTTTCAACAAAGAAAAACTGTTGTAACTATATGAGGAACCGTTTTGTAGACAACAGTTGTTTTTTTTTTAATTTTACTACGTGTAAAATATATTTTACAGTGTATATTACGTTTCTTGACGTCATTTTCTTAAATGGTCTACAAATCCAATTTCGTACGATCATTAATATTATGGTTATAAGTATTATCAGATGTTAATTTCAGATGATGTGCATTGATATTGGTCGTGGACAAAAAATATTATAAACGTGTGTTTATAGTGAACCCACGGGCTTTTCCATAACTCGGGATCCTACACTGAGAAAAAAATATTATTATGGGAAACAAAATATGGTAATTATAACCATGAAAAGTGGTTACTACAGGGAAAACAGTAATTTCAGTTAAAGTAATCAATTAAATATTGTTAACGATAAATTGTTGTTTTTACTTATCTTTTGGTAATTAATTCATAACTGTGATAAGCTCTACTTACAAACCATTTGTATTTATGACGATAATGAATATATTGTTCATACAAAACAAAATGTAAACAGAACCACTGTGAGTCCTATGAATAACAAGGGTAGAAATCAAGCTATCATCACAATACATTTTGATACCAATACCAAATTACTTTGTTGTGGTTAAGAAACAATTCAGTTATCATCCCAATAGATTCTGATACCATAACCAAACTACATTTTTGTAGTTCAGAAACAATTCAACTGTCATCTCAATAGGTTCTAATAACATTACGAAACTACTCTGTTGTGATTTAGAAACAGATCAGCTGTCATCGCAGTAGATTCTAATACCATAACTGAACTACTTGGTTGTGATTTAGATATATTTCAGGAGTACAAAAATTATAATTTGAAAATATGAATTATTATTATGTTACAATTACAAGTCAATACAGTTATAAGTACTTATTAGTTTAATAATTAAAATCAGCTAAATTAGACAATATAATAATAAATTTATAACATACTCATCTGTACGTCTACACAATCAACGGCGTTTAAATCAAAACTTTCATGTCTTAGCGAATCGGATTTCCGTATAGCGAAGAAGAAAAAGGAGGAGAAAGAGAAAAAAAAATAATATACTGATAAAACAACAATAATAATTCCGTAGCCTAAAGCATGTCGTAGTATTTCACGATTTATGTTTTTACTCGTGGAAAACAAACACAAAAGGCGAATTATATCGTTATGTTCACGTGCGTACGCCGTGGTATATATCACTCTCTGTCTTCGCAAACCCATGTCATTACGCAGAGGATATCAGTTGCGCACGCGAACGGTAATAATATAATTTTGATACAATCATTATCTTTCGTATTTTTCCCAGCGGCTCACGCGTTCGGTCGAAAAATTCACAAACACCTTGCTCCCTGTGTGTTGTAATTCGTACTCACTCGTTGTCGGCGATGTGCACAGTATTTCGTAATGGTGTGGCTAGGGTGAAGAGGTATGTCGGATGAATTATGGATTGTATTGTTTTTCTATAAGTTTTTACTATCGGAACGTAGCAAAAAATGTAGCATTTCACAAAACGATGCGACGTACAAGCGTACAGTATCAGAACAGTTCATACGAGTTCAGTTCGAGGGAAGATATCGATCGCCGTCATCGTCTAGTTAAAACACGTCACTGATATACGGAAGGCAGAAGTGATATTATGCGTGTATGAAACGATAAAACGAAACAGTAAACGGGTGTGAGTTTTTTTTGTTTGCTTTTTTGTGGTCACGCGGAAAGTGAATTTAACGGGCGAGCGCGCTCGACGTGCGTATGTCATATCTTAAAATCCACTGCGGGTTGTTCCCGGCTGCTGCGCGTGTATCGAATTGCGGTCAAAATGCGAAAAAAACGATTTATTAAACAGACCGCGCGATCCGTCTTGCTGCAGCAGCTCACGATCGTCAGTGGCGTCAGTTATTTGCCGTGCAGGACGATGCGGAAAAACGCTATTTCGATTTAGGGGGAAAAAAATATGTTATACTCGCCAAAAAACATGACGTATAACATCGGTACAATGAAAAATGCGCATTTTATTTCATTCGTTCGTTGCGATACGTTTCGAAACGAAAATTATTGTTTGTTCCTCGTACGCGCACCGTTGCTATGATCGGGTTCATTTATTTATTTATCAAACAAACAAAAATCCTCGCGTTTTCACTTACGCTGTAAACCTTATCGTGAGACTATTTCGACAAAAATCGTATATTATTCAGTCGTACATAGTCATTGTTACCAAGTTATCGTGTTATCATATACGAATCTAATTTCACGCATCGCTCTATCCACCCCTGGTGGGCCGATCTGACTTTTGGATTTTCAAAGCTGAAATTTACATAAAACTGATGTCAAAGCTCTATCGACATTCATAATAGTTTACTGTTTATATTATATGG